TATTATATTTTTAATATAGCATACGCATTTGTCGATACATTAAATAATATGTATGTACTATTTAAATTATATTAAAAATAAAAGATTATTTATATAATACTTGTTGATAGTTGAAGTACTTTTGTTTAACAGTCATGTAATTAAATAATTAACAATATACAGATGCTGCACATTGGTGGACAAATAGACCTTATGCAACAGGAAGTGGAAGAGATTTTTGTCAAAGATAACAAGCGTGGTTTATCCACTACCATTGTGAGATCTTTAATCGATAAGCATCATAAGATTATCGCTTTTTCGGAGAACATCGAAAGTCTTTTCTCTCACATCGCTCTGATGCAATTTTTCTCGAATACTTTAATCATATGTTGCATCGGATTTCTTATAGTAACTGTAAGTATCCGAGATTTGTAAATGTTTGTTTAAATTTGTATTTTTTAAGCATCGTACATATTTTAAATTTTCCCAATGCACTTAATTCATGCACTTTACAAAATGTGCGAAGATATTGTCTTTAAAGATGATATCTATTCGTATACTTGTATTCGAACATTGAATGTGAGATCTTATATATTTTTAATTGGAAATGAATAACGTAAACTTTTAATTTTACTTCTATACGTAATTATGCATATGTCATGTGTATTATACCATATTCAGGGAATGAAGTAACTATAATTACTTGTAATACCATTATTTTTCTTATTTTTATTCTGTTATAATAATGATTTAACAATGACAAATTTTTTTATGATTGTAATAATAACATCAAAGTTGGAGAGTCATTCGATCATTCCTTGTAACAAGTTAGAAAAGTTATTATTAAAAAAATGAATTCAGCATTTGTAACTCGTTTCTTTTTAGTCATCACTTCTAATTTTTGTATGAAAAAAGTAATTTATAACGAGTAATGTTACTATTATTCTTTATTCGTTACTTTTTTCAGTAAATAAACGTATAAAGTTACTTTCGAAGTGAATGACTTTCTCAACCTTAGCACAATCTCAGCGTTTAGTTAGTTATCATTATAGTCATAAAAAATTGCAACGTTATTATCAAATTTTGTTA